CAACACTCCCCTGAAACTGCTCTTCTTACTTACCCAATTAGCACTTGGACACCATGGTCTTTCTCCTTCTTGAAAATGTGTTTTTCACTTTGTTTCAGGACCACCACTCTCCATACTCCTCCTTCTTCGGTATGTACTTCACAGTATGCATGGATGTATCTTCATCTTCCAAATTTCTACACTTAGGAGATCACCGCAGCCCAGTCTATGGACATCTCTTTTTAACTTCGCTTGCTTCCTAGATGATCACATTCAGTTCTGATGCTTTAAATACGATTTATAGACTGACTCATTTTTCCCAAATTTATATCTGTAGCCTGGACCTCTCTCTTGAACTCTAGATTCAAATGTCCATTGACTCAACATCCATACTTGGAGGTCTAAGCGGTATCTCCAGATTAACATGCCCAAAAGTATACTCTTGTCTCCCCCAAAGCTTCTCCTCCCCAACTCTTCTTATCTCTTTAGCAAGCAACTCCGTTTTTTCAGTTGCTCAGGTCAAAATCTTAATCTTTCCAGACTGTTGTCTTTCTTTAACATTCCACATCCAATCCATCCTGTTGGCTCTACCTTTTGAAATCTATCCAGAATCCAACCACTTCTCACCACTTCAGCTAATGCTACTCTTAATTCAAGCCACCATCATCTCTTGCCCAGACTCCCTAACTAGCTTCCCTGTCAGCATTCTTACCCTTCTGTGGTCTGTTCTCGACAGAGTAGCCAGAATGATCCCATTGAAATGTTATGTCCTGTGACTCTTCTACTCAGAAACCTCCAGTAGCTTCCCACCCTTCAGAATAGAACCAGAATCCTTGCAGAACTGATAAGGTCTGACATGATGTGATCCCCAGAGAGGGAATAAGTAGTTTTTTCTCCAGGTTTCCTATTCTCGCAGGTACAAGTAAGATTACACATTCCTGGCCCCTTGAAACTGAGTGCGGCATGTGACTAACATGCTTTGCCAGTTAAGTGCTGGTGGGAGTTGTGTGTTACTTTCAAGTGGCAACTTTCTGAACCAGTACACAATTTTTTATGCTTTCTTTCCCTCTGCCACAGAGATGGCAGCACTGTAGATGGTGACCACTTCATCAGTGTGGGTTCCAGAGTAGGTCCCCTACTGTGAGTCTGTAGCATGAACTACATGTTGTTTTAAATCTCTAAGATTTGGGGGTTGTGCACACACAGCACACCCAGCCCAGCTTGATGGAAGAACTTGGCTACCTCTGGTGTCATCACCTTTTCCCTCTCACTCTCTGTGCTTTGGCCACAGTGGCTACTCCCTAATCTTTAAACATGACATGCACACTCTGGCCTTAAGGCTTTAACTACTGAAATTCCCAATAAAGTGTAAAAAGGAATCTTTACTCTTGAAACATTGATTCCTCACGTTTTAAAGTTTCTTTTAAAACACCTATTATGGTAGACTTAATAATACCAAATTAATATTTATGTCTACNGTTTCTTTTAAAACACCTATTATGGTAGACTTAATAATACCAAATTAATATTTATGTCTACAGGATGGTGCATTTGTTTTGGATCCAATGTGTGGACTTGGAACAATACTTTTGGAAGCTGCTAAAGAATGGCCAGTAAGTTCTAAAGTTTGTTAAACCAGGCAATATATTTCTTTTAATTAGTATATATATGGTCACTTGCCAGTTATTTACAAGTAGATTGTTTGGGGATTATTATTTTTAATTATTTGGGTTACTATTTACTGTAGTTAAGATAGATAATGAAGGGTTAA